AAAGGATAATGGTTCATGTGGCATCTAGGAGCGAGTACAGTGAGGTGACGTAATCCTTTTAAACCCCTTCTTCAGCAGTATAATTTAACCTTTGGATCGATTTTTATGCCAGGATCACTTTGGTAATTTTAGTAATCTGGTGCTAATTTTTAAAGTATAATTTAATCTCGTTTAGCAAAGCTTTTTCAATGTTGTAATTTCATTCTTTTTATTTTTTTATTTTTATTCAATCCAAAATTTTCAGTAGCAGTTTTTCTAAGGTCCTGGACCAGTCTGCAGCGCTGGCTGCCCTGGCCTTACCCCGGAGCCTGCCACAGCCCCCACACCTGGCTTCTCCCTCAGTAGTAGATGGTGAATGAAGTATGATAATCCAGGGGCATCACCACACTCAGCAGTGCCTTTAAAATCGCCAAAGGAAGGTTTAATTATGTTCCGAAGAGTTTACATTTAAAGTGTCGTATGCTTTTTTTAAAATTGAAAAGCAGTCATCCACATGTGGTAGCTGTTAGCTAAATATTCCATTTATGAGAACATAGCGCACCCCTTGGGGATTCTTACAAAAAGATGCATACTATCGTCTATTTTTAATCCTTAAGTTTATTTGAATAGTGGATTTATTGTGCAGTCCCTCAAGGGTAAATTTTACCATGTAAGCTTCATTACACATTTTTCAAAAGCATTTAATTTAATGCAGTGTCCCAGGAAGAACGGAAGAGAAATGAAAGAGTGGACCTTTTAAATTTTAGAATTTTTAATACACTTAGAAATGTGTTAGTTAGAAATGATTAGGATTTTGTTTCTTTTAGAGCTCCAGTCCAAGAAACATAAAATAGCTTCCTCCCGGGCGGAGTCCGTGTTGGCTGCAGCATGACGCCGAATACTGTTTACAAACAGGTGCCTGGAGTTAAGTGGAGTCAATATACAATTTCTCACCCTTTAGACGATAACCATTTTGCTGCCACACGAGTAACCACATTTTAAAAAAAATATCTTGCTTGAAATCATTTAATCAAGAATGTAAATCAGTTATATGCCCAATTATAAAAACATTGATGCAATTGGCTATGGTATTGATTTGGGGGACGGGGGTTTGAGGCATGGAAATAGGGGGCTGAGTAGAGGTAAAGGTGTTGGTTTTTTTACAGAGACAATGATATCACATTCTACTCCCAGAAATGCAAACAACATTATATCCTGCTTGGCAGGCACAGAGGTCACTCGGCTTAGCCAAGAATAAGAACTGTCAGTAGTGCCACTTCACAGGCTTAAAAGAGAACCCATGAAATAATGGATGGTATACGTACTATGTTCAGATAATTTATTTAAATAATGTTGCTGGCTCATGCGTTATAGCTGCTTGCATTTTGCTACACAGACTTCAGCATATCGTGCAGACTATGCAATTCATTTGGAAAATGTAATTTTCATCCCTGCATACTAATCGATTTCTTCACAAACACCTGCTATCAGTTATGATAATAAAAATGCCAGTCTGAATTGAGAAAGGGCCAAATAGAGCTTCCTAAGGAAATGACTTAAGTGTCTTCGAATGCTACTAAATGTAGTAATGTGCTTATGTAGTGCCAACACTTTCTTCATCATTTGCATTTTCTGTAATTTTGTCCTATTACAACACCCCTCTCTCCAATGATGCCTCATAACTATTTCCTTATGGATTGGGAAACGGAATTGTCAGGAAGGAGTTGGTGTCTCAGGGTGTGGACGAGGTCTGAAGTTGGGCTGCCCAGTGCCGAAACCCACTAGCTCGTGTTCCTGGGTGTACGTACCCTGGGCCATTTCTGGTTTTCTCAGTCCCTAAGAACTCTAAAATCAGCTGATCCTTAGTTTCACTCCCACATATACACCAAATAAAATTCCCCTTATGCACTCCCTTCAGCTTCCAGTTCATTCCACGACCAGCACCGAACTAATCATCCTCAGTCACCAGTTTCCTCATGCACTCCCCCTGCCCGAGCACCGTCAGTGCTTCTCAGCAGGTCACTCCAGTGAGCCCAGCTCTGCAATCTATGAGCCTCCCTCTTCTCTCATCACCTGACGCGGTTCACCTGACTCTGCTTCCACAGACTCTTCCCTGTTTGGTCAACCTCCCCCTGCTTCCTGCCCCAAATACTCTCACCTGAGTCCTCGCCTCTGGACTGTTGCTTGTGCTTCAGCTCCTGACTAGCTGTCCTTCCCAGTTCTTGGCTTTCATCCTTTTAAGCCACTTTGATGACTCCAGCCTGCATTTTTTCCTTCTCTGAACTCCCATTGGTGATTCCCTTGTTATATCCCTTGATACTAAGTTGCTTGTTTAGTCATTCACCTGACATGTATTGAGTGCTGACTGTATGGCAGGCAGCAAACTGCCCTCTCTTCCTTTGAATGTGTTAGTTTCATTCAAATGTGGCACTTTCTCTTACATTGTAAGCTCCTTCTGAGAAGAGATATGTTTTGTCTCCTTTACCTGATCCAAGGTGCCCAGGCAGGTCTGGGCACAGAGTAAGTATGCGGTAAATGCTTGTTGACTAATTGATCTTTAATGGCTGGTGGTGGGAAATTTTTCTGGTTAATTGCGTGTTCTATTTGATTAGTAATTTAGTGTTTACTACACATAGATTATCATTTTGAAAAGCAGAACACCGAAAAACACTCAACTGTAAGACTATTAATGACATACATTGATGTTTGCTATTTGAGGAGAGAATGCAGTGGGTGTCACAGCGCTTGGTGCACACCTGTCATCCTTGTTCGGCAGTGGTTCTCAACCTTCCTAATGCTGCGACCCTTTAATACAGTTCCTCATATTGGGGAACCATAAAATTATTTTCTTTGCTACTTCAAAACTGTAATTGTGTTACTGTTACTGGATTGGAATGTAAATATCTGTGTTTTCCAGTGGTCTTAGGCTCTATAGCAGCAGTTCTCAACCTGTGAATTGCGACCCTCAGGTTGAGAACAGCTAACTGGGTCGCCTAAGACCATCAGAAAACACAGATATTTACATTACGATTCATAACAGTAACAAAATTACAGTTATGAAGTAGCAAAGAGAACACCACAACATGAGGAACTGTATTAAAGGGTCGTGGCGTTAGGAAAGTTGAGAACCACTGTCTGTAAGTGGCAGGTAGCCCTCTGGGAGGCTGCCCTCTGATTGGGATCGGGGAGGTGGTGGCAGTGAGCACGGACTGAGAACCAGCTGTGCAGTAGGTCCACACTATGCCCCACAAACCCAAACTTACTTCTAGGCAGAAGTTACTGATAACAAGCTTTTATATTTCTCTCTCACTTTCTCTTGCTTCCAAGAGTAGAGAATGCATTTTCTGTGGGAGCGAGAAAAGAGTGTGGGAAATTGGTGGGAAAGGGGAGAATGCAAGACTGGTTGTGAACACTCTGATAAGAACTGAACACATCTGGACGGCACAGCAGCCCAGTGACTGAGAGCGAAGTCGAAGCCAGCCGCCTAGGCATGGACTCTCTGCTGCGTACTTTGTGGGTCTGGACAAGTTCTCTGACTCTTCCATGCCTCGTTTTTCTCATCTGCAAAGAGCGGGGTAACAGCAGCACCGACATCATAGGCTTCGTGAGGGGTAGTTGTAAAGGTGAGTCAGTCCATGGGAAGCTCGTGGCCCAGGGCCCATTATATGGTGAGGGCTCAGCAAGCTGCTATTCATCTTGGAGAGACCACGAAGCAAACAGCTGGAATGTGGAGAAGGGTTCCCCATCCTTAATTTTCTCTTTGATGATTCATTCTCTTCTTTAATTCAGTCTTGTTTTTTCTGAAGCCTTGATATGATGCGCCTGAGTGGACTGTCTCGGTTTCTCGATAGATGGAGATGTGACTGGGGCCTGGATCTACATACAGAGAACTTTAGGTTCCAGGAGGAGTATCTGTGTACCCACTCAGCCTTGTGGGGAAAAAGCGGTTTAGACTGTTGGTAAAGCAGATGGAACTAGGTTACCATTCTAATAAGAATTAGAAACAGTTGGACCTGCATCACCACCATTTATCCACCAACCAGATCTGAAATATCATGGCTGACATGTACACACAAGGAACTGTTTGACATTGAAATTGGGACTCAAAGGAACTGTTGGCCCAGAAAGGAACTCACTACATACTGATCCATTTGCCTCTCAGCATAACCATTATGGCTTGTCTCAGTTTAGGTTCTTACAAGGGTATTTCTTGGATCACATGATCTCACACATCTAGGGAAAATAATGAACAACATAAACTGATAAACAAAAACAGAGACAGAGAAGCAGCGATCAGACCGTCAAACTTCAGAGGGAAGGTAGGGGAGGGTGAGGGTAAGGCGAAGAGATAAACCAAAGGACTTGTGTGCATGCATATAAGCCTAACCAGTGGACATAGACAGCAGTGGGGGGGTGGGGGGAGAAGCATACGTGGAGAAGGGTTTGGGATGGGAATGGGGGGATAAGGAAAAATACGTGATACCACAATCAACATATCAATAAATAAATAAAAGAATTAGAACAATTTGCCCCAGCAGTGGAGCAGGCTGGTGGTGTGCAGATAAACCCTCCTGCTCCTGGGATGCTGCTACCTCCTTGACCTGTGCAACTGCCAATGGTGTGAAGGCGGGCTGCGAGGAGCTGAGAGGCCCAGCAGAGGGGAGCAGACACAGTGTGTGGATGGGGCTGTTGCCTGGGAGGCAGAATGCTGTCGCTGAGCAGCACATACGGACCTCGGAGAGGGTGCCCAGGATAGGGGAAGAGGTCAGGAGACAAAACTTTGGGAGAAATTAATCCTACGCCCACAGCAAACATTCCTATTGAGACGCGACAAGTAGGATAGATGAAAATTGCAAAAGAAATGATGCTCACCCACTGCAGAGCGCCCTGGCGTAAGGCGTTTTGGTTTTCCTTCTGAGCTGGTGCCAACTGTTAGGAGTTTGGTGAGAGTCCCTTTCCCATAGAAGGCCCCCAGCCTAAGCAGGAAGGTAACTCACCTGAGCTCCTTGTCTGCCCTCCAGCCCTGGCGGCTCAGGCCTACGCCCTGAAAGAGGAGAACGACAGCCTCCGCTGGCAGCTGGACGCCTACAGGAACGAGGTGGAGCTGCTGAAGCAAGAGAAGGAGCAGCTTTTCCGAACAGAAGACAACCTCACCAAGGACCAGCAGCTGCAGTTCCTGCAGCAGACCATGCAGGGCATGCAGCAGGTACTGGCCCAGGCCTGTCCTTGTTTTGTTTTGTTTTGTTTTGTTCATTAGAAAAGGGATGTGTGTAGTCAGGAGAAGTGCAATGAGAGCCGTTTGCAGGACAGGTGGAGGAGGAGAAGTGACTACTGAAAAGCAAAGTTGAGAGGACAGGAACGTGTGGATGGCTGTGTGTGTGGGAGGGCAGACCCTGGCCAACACTTCAGTTAAAGAAATTATGTTGAGAAAAGCGCCCTCAAAGTAGGAAACACAGGAAAGAAAATCTAGGCGATGGGAAGGATTGCATATGAAATGGAGCCTCGCAGCAAACAGTCAAAAATCCTGATTGTGACACAAGGGCTTTGTAATCTCAGAACTTTTAAATTAAAATCATGCTGACTGGTTTACAGAAGCATGGGGGAGTTTATTTTCAAAGATCAATTAAAACATAAGCTGCATGGTTTCCACTTCTTCTGGATTATATGTGGGATCTCATCAGGTTCCAAGAGCACACTGTATTTAAGACGTATTTGTTGAAGGGATGGATGAAGGACTGGAATTTGGGGGAACTGGCACCTTCAGAAATAAGTCAGTATGTGTGCTTCTGTTAATGATTTCCAGATATCTTGCACACTCAAGCTTAATGTGTATTCCCAGCAATTACTAGAAGGAGGCAGGTGCTGTGGGCTTCTGAAGAAGGGGATGGAACACAGACTGCTGGGAATGAGGGATTGAAGAGAGGAGAAAGTTGAGCCCTGGCAATGAGAGAACCAAATCAAAGATTCTCAGTTGGATTTATATCTGAAAACATCAATTGGTATCTGATACACTTAGGGTGTTTGGACCTTTGAGTTATCATAGAATAATATAGCACAAAATATCATCATACATGGGCATTTTTTTTTTTACCCCTCTGTATATGTAAATCTAACCACTCTTTCCTGGCAAAAAGAGATTTTTTTTGTTTAAACAAGGGAAATATAAGTAGGATAATGGGAAATTAAAACCTGTATAATAAAAGGCTAATGTGCAAATTGATTGAATGGCAGAATGAGCGGTTGCTATGATGTGCACTGACCACAAGGAAGCAGAATCTCAATGCAGGAGCAGTGCACTCCCACAGGGGGAGTGCCGCTCAGCCAGAAGCCAGGCTTATGGCTGACACAGTAGCAGTGGCAGGAGCCTCTTCCACCTCCAAGGCAGATGGACACCATCTAAAGGGTCCTGGACTGCAAGAGTGTGCAGGCTGGGCTGAGGGACCTCCCTGCCCCCCCCCACTCTACCCCACCCCACCCCGCCCCACCCGCCAGTGCACAAATGTTGTGCACCGGGCCTTTAGTATACATATAATGAATGGTATTTTCTTTTTTAATCCCTCCATCAATATTGACTGTTGTCTAAGATCTGAAACATGATTTGCCTACAAAACTATCTTAATGATTAGAGGTAGCTGCTGCGGTAACATTCACCAAGCAGGGAAAAAATAATTGAGGAAAAGGGATATGAAAAGAAATGAAGATTAGGATATAAATACATTAATGACCAAGTCAAAGAAACTATGTCTTAAACATTTACTGCCATTTTAAAGCAGTTTTTGAGTCTTGGCTTTGAGTCTGACTGATTGATGTTCACAGTGTGTGTTAGACACATCATTGAGACTCAGAGGTAAGAGTTCACCAGGAAAATGTGATGACAGTTGTTGCTCAGGTCCCTGTGGTTGGAAATCGGTGTAACAGCTGCTGGGTGAGTCTCCTAGGGTTGTCCAGATGCCTCGACACTGAGTATGTGTTGGCTCCCTTGCCAAGGGAAGAGTCTGCCAATTTCCTGAAAGACCACAAGCTACTCTGTCACACCTCCCATAACTGGCCCTCTTTTCTTCTGGGAAATATTATCCTAGTTGCTTTAAAAGTTGGTAAAACCTTTAAAGTGGTTGGTAAAACCTTTAAAGAGGTAAACCTCTAAATCTAAGAAAGTCAGAAGAGATGAGGATGTGCTCATCAGTCAGCAGAAAGTACGTTGGGTGGAGGTGGGGGGTGGGGTGGCAGCTAAGGGCCTGGTCCACACAGGAGCAGTGTTATAAACCACCATCCAACTACAGCCCCTTTGGGGGTATTCAGTTGCTGCAGCTGCTCATGCATTTGCAGAATCTCCTTAGTAGGAAGATTATTTTAGGATAGTTCTTTTGTTTGTTTTGGGGAATTTTGTTTTGGTTTGGTTTAAGCAACAGAATTTTACTACCTCACAGTTCGGAAGCTGGAAGTACAAGATCAAAATGTCAGCAGGGCTGGTTCCTCTGAGGGCTGTGGGAAGGAATCTGTTCCATGGCTCTCCCCTAGCTTCTGGTAGCTTGCTGGCAATCCTTGTGCTTCATTGGCTTGTAGACACATCACCTTGTTTTTTTTGCCTTTTGCTTCTTCACATGTATGTGTGTCTGTGTCCAAATTTTCACTTCTTTATAAGGACACAATTTGTATAGGATTAAGGGGCCCATGCATTTCTGTGTAACCTCAGCTTAACTAATGGCATCTGCGATGACTCTTTTCAAGTAATGTTACATTCTAAGGTACATAGGGTTGGAACTTTACCATATAAATTTTGATGGGGGAATATACAGTTACTATATTCAATCAGTAAGAGTAACATAGTACATATGTAACTGAGACCGAGGTTTGGCTACCTGCTACCACAAAAGCCAAACTTCTGAAACAGGCGCTTGTGAAAAAGGAAAAAGGTTTGTTCAGGTGCTGACCACCTGGGAGATGAGGGAGTCTTGTCGTAAAGCCATCTTCACATCTCAGTGCAAGCAGAGGTTTTTATAGAGAGGAAGAAGGAAAGCAGAACAAAGAGATTAAAGGGAGAGGGTTGAAAAGGTCTCTGATGCAAACCAGCAGAGTCCACTCCAACAAGGACCTCGATATGAGTCAAATGAGGGTCAGGTGTGAGTCATCCTGGTTTTCACTACCCTGATTTTCAATCCTGGTCTTATGTCATGTTGGTTTTATGGTTGAAGATCAACAATTCTCCTATAACTAGGATGACTGAAGGTTGGAGTCTGTGTCTTCTGAAGTTGGTTCCTAGTATTCTTATACAAACATGCTGTTTATCTACAAGCTACATATTAGTCAGAGTCAGCATTTACAGAAACAACATCAAACGAATATCAGGGTGGCTTTCAGATAGTAATGGAGGAACGAATGGACAAAGATACAAAAGCAAGAATTAGCATGGTGCCTGTCAGGACTTCTGGTTTATTTGAGATCCTTAGGTCATAAACAGCAAGGCGAGCAGTGGTGAGAGCTGACATCCTGGAGGATTGAATGTATAGCACCTCCTTAGCATAGGAGAAGCACTAACCCAATGGCAGTCAATGTAAGTTTAATTTTTACTGGTTGTGAGGTAGATGCATTGCAATCTCTGTGGCAACCCATCTTTAGTATATTCGATAGTTTTAAAATGGATATGCTTGTTAAGATTCGTATGTCTATCTTAACATCACTTTAAATAAATTATCACAACTTGCTAAATTGAGACCCACAGCAAATAATTCTCCTTACTTTAAAACCTACTCTCAATCTGTCTGCTGTCTACTTTTTTAAATTAGAAAATCATGATGTCGCAGGAAAGTCAACAGGTAGAGAAGGGGTTAGCCTCCCACATGTCATTGTTTCAGCAATCCATGTGTGGGAAAATAATTCTGTTAAAAACAAAAGGGAAAAACAAAGAGTCTCAACAGCCTTAGAGCTAGCATACAAATTATAGAATTAACTTCAAGTTTAGCCAAAAAGTTTTTAACCTTTCTTCTTTAAATTTCTTAAGTATATGTTCACTAGCATCACAGTGTATCTTTAAGTTCATGAAGGTCCATAAAAATGAAAAGTCCTTGGGTGATTTTGTCAGGTTGTTTCTCACTCTACCCCTACATTACATGCGAGTCATAATTTAATATTAGAGGTTTCAATAATAGCTTGTAACCATGGTAACACAGTAGCCTTTTCCTGACCTTAAACTAGCATTGAAGGTAACCTGTTTTTGCCACAGAGATAGTGAGGTTGTTGGCTTTTATTCGTATTTTTAGGTATATATTGAAAAAATAATACATATTTTATTTTATTTTTTAAAGATTTTTGTTGATTACAGAGAAAAAGAGAGAGACATCAATGATGAGAGAATCATTGATTGGCTGCCTCCTGCAAGCCCTATACTGGGGACCAAGCCATCAATTTGGACGTGTGCCCTTCACCAGAATTGAACCCAAGACCTTTCAGTCCACAGGCTGACACTATCCATTGAACCAAACCAGCTAAGGCAATAATGCATATTTTAAATGTTTACTTATCTTCGTTTTCTTAGGTTTACTGAGGTAAAAAATACATACAATAAAATACTCTTTTTAGGGGGACAGTTCTATCAATTTTGACAAATTCATACACTCATACACTTATGTTACCACCACTATCCCAGGCAATGTATGAAACAGTTTCATCATCACCAGAAAATGTTCTGATGCTCCTTTTAATTACCTTCACTCCCAGCAACCACTGATTTGTTTTCTATCCTTGTAGTTTTCCCTTTTACAGAATGCCATGTATAATAAGTGGAATCATACAGTATACAACAATTTGAGTCTAGCCTCTTTCACTTAACATACTGAAGCTGAGATCCACCCATGCTGCTATATCAGTTCATTCTGTTTTATGCTGAATAGTATTCCATTGTAAGGGAGAACCACAATTTGTTTATCTGGTCATTAATTAAAGGACATTTGGGTGATTTCCTGTTTGGAACAAACATGAATAAATCTGCTATAAACATTCACTTACAAACTTTTTGTTTGACATATTTTTCATTTCGCTTGGGTAAATACCCAGGAGTAAGGTTGCTGGATCATATGGCAAGGGTGTTTAACTTTTTAAGAAACTGATTAAATGTTTTGCAAAATGTCTGGACCGTTATACATTCCCACGGACTACATGGGCATTCTGGTTCTTGTTCTGTGCAACTGAATAGCATAATGGAGATTTTAG